CCTAAACCTTAAACCCTAAACCGGAGTGACTGAAGATGATTCGGACTCGTTATCAGCAGCCTTGACCACTGTGGAGAAGAGAGAGACCGCTGTTGTCCGGGTCAGGTGGAAGATACCCTGAAACTCCACATGGGTGGTTGTCAAAATNNCCCTAAACCCTAAACCCTATATACTTAAGCCCTGCAGCTCCGAACGGTATGGCGTTGGATCAGGGTGATGCGGAGAATGCGGGTGGATGGGGGGGGACTCCTCCTTCGAATCAGAGAAGATCCTTCTTCGGGGCTGGGTTCCGGGGTTTGGGGTGTAGGGTTTCAGGGTTTTAGAGCTCAGGGGGGTTTAGGGATTCAGGGTTTTCGGGTTTAGGGTTCAGGTTTCCGGGTTTAGGGTTTAGGGCAAGTTTAGGGGTTCAGGGTTTCAGCTCAGTGGGTGAATCAGCGAAGCTGGTTTCACCTACCTGCCAAGCCTGGAGTTCTGTAAGTTGGAAGAACTAGTTCTCTAGTGATAAGTGGAGTTATAAGTCCCCTAAGAGGGGTTAAGTCATGGTTGCCTACTTATAACCCCACTTATAATGACCCATGAACCTCCAAGTACAGCTCTACAGCGCACGCTCCTCGGGAGGCCTCGCGGCCCTACACCGTGATACAAGACACTATCAGGCTGTGGTGATGCTCCGGGCACCGGGTTGAGTGCTGGGACTGAGATTCGTTTTCAAGATTTTTCGTGCATGCCGGGATGCAGTTGTCTTGTATCCTAGCTGCTGCAACTTCTACCCGAACCTTAGGCTATCTCCCTGTCTGTCTATCTTTCATCTAGCCGCTAGCTGGCAGTCTGCTTATCACATCTACCTATCCATCACAAGACAGACCCATGCACTTTGAGACCTCGGTAAAACAGGAACCTGATTAAGAAGCCCTGCGTCTTTATCAGGAGCTTTTATATGAATCCCAATACCATTGGCAATAGGGCAATGGTTTCTTAATCAGGTTCATCATACATTACCCTAAACCTTAAACCCTAAACCCTAAACCCTAAATCGTGCCTCACGCTGGGCTCGAGGCTGTGAGGTTTACTTTGGGTTCGCCCCGGACGCCATGGCGAAGACGTCCGAAGCGACGAGGCCCGGGCCGAGGCCAGCCGCGAAGCCAAAGGTTCGCTTTGACCCCAAGGAGGCCTCGGCTGAAGATGAGCTGGAGGATTATTACGAGAAGTTGAGCGAAATTTCCCGGAGACTCTGCCAGGGAGTCGAGGCCAAGGACGAGAGAGCCTTGCAATGGTCTCGACTGCTGGATGCGTCCTTGAACTTCAAGCTGCCGTGGAGGGACAGAGAAGTCCGCCTGCGGGTGCTGTACCACTGCTTGTATGGCCTTGCGGACACGAAAGTCTTTCCCAGCGTGCCGACTGCGCTGCTGACGCAGCCGTGCTCGGCGGAGGGGGCGGAGACGCGTGTCGAAGCCAACATTGAAGCCGGTGTTTGACTCCGCATTCCTTTCTTTCTTTGGTTCGCAGCCCTAAAATCCCCAAAACTTGACCCACTGGATTTGTGTCCTAAGGTCTAAAAACCGGTTTGCGGAACACAACCCGCCGCCTCTCAAGAGCTTTTTTGGAATCCGCCCCCCGGGGTCAGCCCAGGAGAGCCTGCGCATCTCTCTGCCGGAGGCGCTGAAGCAGCTCTCCACTCAGAGGCATCCTGGCGCCTACTTCCTCCTCACCTGCCACCTGGGCAAGGAGTCGGGGAGGGCAGGGGTTTCAGGCTTCAGGGCTTGTGGTTTATAGTTTTGGGTAGAGATATGAGAGTTTGAAGATTCGGATTTGGGGGTGCAGGGTCCGGGATCTGTGGCGTTTAAGGTGCATGATTCAGTATCTCCGGAGCTTCGGGGGTGAGCGAAGCTTCAGATCAGAGCTGTGGTTAAAGTTGTGGTCCCGGGTCTTTGGCTGTTGAGGTTCTGGGGTGTCAGGTCCTGACCCCGACCTCCTAAACCCAAACCCTCCCAAACCCTAAACCCCTGAGCATTTATCCGGCTCGATCTTTCTGCTCGAGCTGCAAATCTTCGTAGGGACGCGGGTGCGTGTGCAGGATAAAACATGGAGCACCCAGATTGGACCACCTAGGTCTATCGGAAAGATCCTCGCAAAGGCAAGCGACCCTAAACCCTAAACCCGAAACCCTAAACAGGGCCTAAAGAAACGGACTTCTGCTTCCCCAAGACATGCAGCAGCCCTTCCTGAACCTCCTAAGTATGTCTTAAAGCTTTCAGTTGTGGTACTTTGTAGATGCTGAGCCCCAAAAAAGAACCTTGTGCTTCTATTTTCCAGGAGCGTCTGCCTGCCTGCCAGGGTTTTCCCTGGCTCACCTTTGGAGTTCTGCTGCTGTTGCTTGGGGCCCCTCGGATGAAAGCTTCAAAGATGGGAGCTAGGATTAGGGGGACCCTTGGGGATATAGACCCTCTCAATAAGGTCCCTTTTAAGAGAGCCAAAAGTAGGGTACGCCTAATAATACTACTTAAAAGAAACCCGAGCGCTTGGCAGCCTTGAAGCCCAAAGTTGAACATGTTCGATCATGTTCGAAGAGCTACACACTCTACACCGTCGACATTTCCACAACAGCTAGGTGCTGAAATTGCCGAGACTTGTTGCCTCTATGCGGGGTATGACAAAATCTAAGAAAAGGAATGAACATCCCAAGCTCAAAAATGATTCCTAATCCATCCTCATCCACTAAGAATCTGACAGTTGAACCCCCTAAGCCCTAAACCCTAAACCCTAAACCCTAAACCCAAGCCCTAAACCTTTTTGAGCCTTTTGAGCGTTGTTTCGTCGAGGTCTTTTGCGGCCCCAACAGGGCCGAACGTCCGGTGGCGGTGCGGTCACAAACCTGGAACGAGGACGGGAAACCCCTATAGGGTTTAAGGTGTAAGGTTTAAGCCTGTAGCGTTTAGGGTTTCATCTTGAATAGTTGAAGAGTGGTTGCGTGTGCCTCCTGCCATTTGTTACTGGTCGTCGTCGTCGTCGTCGTCTTCGTCGCAGTCGCAGTCGCAGTCGCAGTAGCTGAAGCTGTAGCTGTAGTAGTAGTAGTAGTAGTAGTAGTAGTAGTAGGTCGTCGTCGTCGTCGTCGTCGTCCTAGTAGTAGTAGCAGCAGGAGGCGCATTCGTAGTGGTAGTGGTAGTGGCAGTGTCAGTAGCCGTAGTAGCAGCAGCAGCGGCAGCAGTAGTAGTTGGGGCGGCAGCGACAAGAGCAGGAGCAGGAGCAGGAGCGGTAGCAGTGGCAGCAAGAGCTCTGAGACCGAAGAAGTAAGCCGTAAGACCTGGGCCCTTAGGCCGTGAGTCCAATGCAGCAAAAGGTGAGCCACTTCCCCACTGCGCAAGCGGGTGCAGCGCAGACAGAGCCTGGTCCAAAAAATGATGTTCCCTTCTCTCTCCTTCAGCACTTTCGGAATTTGGGAACTTTGGGGTTGAGGTTTAGGATTTCAGTGTTCTGGGTTTTTGGGGTTTAGGTTTGAAGTTTCGGACTCAGCGGGTTAGGTCTGGAGTTTCGGTTTTGGGGGTCTAGGTTTGGGGTTTGTGTTCGGGGTTGGAAGGTTTAGGTTTCAAAGCTTTGTATCTATTTATTTACGGATGCAGGTTTGGGATGGCCTATCTTCTTGCATTGGGGTAGCTCTCTAAAGTAGGGTCCTTTTAGGGTCCGTTTTATAAGGGTGCCGTACTATATTGAGGACTTAAGAACGGACCCTAATTTAGAGAACTACCCTTATAGTACCATTGTAGACTCTCTAGAGAAACCCTTACAGACCCCTTTTAAGGAACCCTCAACGGGACCCTAATTTGGAGAACCATCCGTCTGTTTTCCCGACTTTGGTTCATGGTTTGTTGATGGTCTTCGGTTGTTCGAGCTTGCTTTGTGTGGGATCTTGGTGGACCCCATTTAGGGTTTAGGGCTTAGGGCAATCTCCTTCATGTCACTGACTCTCCATCGTCTGGCGGCGCCTTAGGAGATGTGATGTGGATAACATTGGTTTGCAGGTCGTGGATCCGGCATGGGGGACGTCATGCTGGGTGCTAGCATGGATTGATTGTTCGTGGATGGTCCGAGTGGAGTGTAGCTGGGGTCCCGCCACGGATTTCCTGGCAACCACATACAGAGCAATTAAATAGCATTTTCATGTGCGTTTGCGAATGTCGTCGTATGGACACTATTACTGTGAATGCACTAAGACGGAAAGGCTGCAGGCAAACGACTGCGGGTTGAGGTTGAACATCGACTACTTCGCTTCTGTTCCCATCATGATTGTTGACGGCACTGTTGCTCAGTTAGAATGTTGCTGGTACTATTCTGCTAGTGCTAGAAATCTGAATGCTGGGACGGGAGCATGCGAGCTCGAGCGTGACGTTTGGCGTTTGGTTCCTGTCTACGCTCCGCAATTCCAAACCCCGCCCCTGCCGTACCAAGAACCCGCAACAGAAGATTTTGAGCTTTGACCCTCCACCCTAAACCCTAAACCCTAAACCCTAAACCCTACACCCTAAACCATCCTAAACCCTAAACCCCAAACCCTCCACCCTAAACCCTAAACCCTAGACCCTAAACCCTCCACCCTAAACCCTAAACCCTAGACCCTAAACCCTACACCCTAAACCCTAAACCCTGAACCCTAGACCCTAAACCCTAAGCCTCATACCAAACAGTCGAAGTTTGCCAGTTCCAAGGCCGCTGCCGCTCCCCTGCTGGTCGGAGGCGCCTTGCTCGCTCCTCGGCGTAGGTTTAGGGTTTAGGGTTCAGGGTTTAGGGTTTTAGGGTTTAGGGTTTGGGGTTTAGGGTTAAGGGTTTAGGGTTCAGGGTTTAGGGGTTTGGCAGTGAAAGTGAGAGCCGATGCGGAGAAGTCATATAGGGGGCCCTAGATATTTGCCGACATTATTCCGTGGGGTTCTGTTTTTGGGAAACTATGATGTGCTCCTTATTGTAAGTATACTATAAGACACCACAACACTCTGTTCGAATTCTTAAGATCCCTACTTTACACGGTTTGAGGGGGCGAGGGTAGGAGTCGAGTCGCATCATGCTGGACTCGTGTTTGCATGTGTTTGCTTTGTAGTCCGACCAGGGCAGCCATTTAGGGGTTTAGGGGTTTAGGCCAGAACCCAGAGCCCCAAACCCCAAACCCCCCTAAACC